TACAGTTAGCATGAAGCAAGTGGTCTAATTAAGGATAACTTTCAGCCTCGAAAAATTTAATCTAATCAAATTTCAATGTTATTATTAATAGCACAGTTGCGCATATACAGAAACGAACAATCTACATGCTTTATATGCAAATAATGCACGATGAAAGTTTTGCAGTTTGCAGAAGTACTGGCAGTATCGTTTCCTTAATATACAAATTGCTTCCATAAAGAGCTGCGTGTGATATTTAAAATGATTACTGGCAGATAAATATTGCATAATTTTCAAGAAAGTTACATAAGTAGCAGACAAAAAACTTAAAAATTGCCACAAAAATATTCAGTCCCACTATTTTTTGTGAGCTATGTACATAATATAATGACAGCTAAAAACTTGTAATAATTCAATAAAGTGAATATTCTGCGAGTAACAAATTTTTACACGTAATCTTATCTAGCGGTCAGATTCACAATTATAAAATTCTTTACTTAAGGAATCGTAAATTTGGTTTTGCTTTGTATTCAAAAGGTATGGCATTGTTGCCTTTAAAAATTATCAAGAAGCAATTAACTGCAATAATTTATGCTAATTAAAGTAGATGGACAAATTTTATTAATGCAAATATCAGAAAGTTATTATTTTATTTCACTGTAATTTTTTAGTGAAGTACAACGTAAGTTCAATTCAATTACTGACATGATGTGCAGCCTTTAGTTTCTTTAGTTCCAAAATGTTGTTTTCCTAACGATTTCACTCTAAGCTAATTTTTTATCACTTTTTGCCCGACAATTTATTTTCTTTAATTCTGTGCTAATTTTCTATCAAATTCCGAGAATGCTCAAAAAAATACATAGCAAAAAGTGTGCCAAAGAAATTTTTGAAATTCGGATTGCAAAGCCATAGTCAAGCGCCATAATTATAAAGACTTATTTTATTTTTATTATAAACGCATTTGCTGCTTAAAAATGATCAAAAAACTCAGTCTGATGTTAGCATCAGAAAAGAGGAAGTTTGATTCTAATGCAAATTAAAGGTTCTGAATCATTTGAAGTTTTACGTAATGCATGATGACTTGATTCAATGAATCTAGATCTTAATTAATTAGTTTTCAAAAGTATTTATCGTTTATCTCACTTCCTTATGGTAATCATTCAAAGATTACTATCAAAATAACTTAGTGACAAGCAAATAACTGTTTTTGACTGCTTGCAAAAGTAACAATATTTAGCTGTGTTTACATTTCAATTTAATTTAGGGTCATTAGATTTTTTAAGCTGCCTCAAAAATAGAGAATACGGACTGGTAAAATTTTTAAAGACAAATTCATGATGCCTTTTAGTCCACCTTCAAGCTTTAACTTTTTTGTCTTTTTTTTCGTTTTTTTGAAATTTCCGTATTTTTGCAAATTATTATTCCACTTAGATACATACATACTCACTGAATAGCAGCATCAATAAAGTTACAGTAAATCACTAAAAGTTTTTGTTTAGCTAACTAACTGAATCATCCATCGGAAGCCAAGATCGTTGCTTAAGAGTGCAAAAATTTTTAATATTCAATAATGCGTGCAATTTTTCTCGGCACCAATCCCAAATCATTTTTGAACTCACTAATTGCAGTGAATCTTTTGATTTTTTCGACATTAAAGCATTAAATTTTCAAAACGAATGCACCGTCATTTTTAGCAAAAAGCTGAATTGTCGACTTCATGGCTCCTATTTCTGCATGAACAGCGTTTATTCTGAGAGTCTCAAAAAGTACCCAAAAATCAGTGAAAAACATCTGAATACCACTTCTAGGAAAAAATTTTAAAAGTTTCGAGAATTTTAGACAATCACTTCTTTACCATTACTAAAACCAAACTTGTAATACTTATTATTTCTGAATGCTAATTAATTAAGCCTTGAAACTGTGCATTTTTCATGTTGTTTTTTTTAATTCAGTGCCTGATTCTGTGTCAGAATTGACTTGAAAATATGGGACAATTTTCAAGCTTTAATATTTTTCAAAGACAACCTAAAGATTTTTTCATGATCCAGTTCTCGATCCTGTATGAAAATGCTGTGCAGTTATTTAAAATCAAGACTGATATTGACATTGGCATAGAAGCCAGTATGAAACATATGAACCGTTAGTTAAGCTATCTTTGCTATTTCAATGATTGTAAGCTGATAAAGTATAATTGATATATCAATTAGCAGACTGATAATAATTAAAACGACATTCGTTTTGAGTTTCAGCACTTATATAACACTAATTTATCATCTCTCTGCCAATTATCAAATAAGTAATAATTAAGGGAATTTCGCTTGCTCAATTTATATTCATTATTGCTGATCACCATGTTTCAATTGATATTCAAATTAATATGTTAGTAACAAACAAAAGAAATTTTCCACATTAGATGATTGTTTAATTAAATTACTACTTAATCAAATTACATAACAACGCTGGAATGATATTAAATTAATGATTGATTGGATTGTATTTCACAGCAAATGGAATGCTGAGTGATTGATATGTTAGTAGTTGAAACTGAAAATGATCAGGCAGTGTCGATGAGAAATTGGTCTGACGTTTAGAGGGATTTTTCATTCAAATATTTGTGTAAAATGCCAGCTGACACTAAAACAGATCAATTATGATCATTGTTACGTTTCTCACGCATTTTAAGATGTAATTTAAGCTTTTATTGATGTTTCAATAATAAACAGATATTATGCATTTGTTTACTTTCAATATTAATTTGTAATGGGGAATTATAATGTTTGGAAAACCTTTCATATTCGCTTGACTTCAATTTTATTAAATAGAATGAAGAGAGCTAAGTATACGTTATAATGCAGCTTTGAATATGATCTTATTATTATCGTGGATCAGCTTCAAGTACCATGGTACCTCAGCTGATTCAATAAATAATACCAACAATCTTTTTATCAAATAAATTGCTTTATTTAGAAAATAAAAAATATTTAAAAGTAAGTAATTTATGCCGACAAATTGATCTACTGATCGTTGCAAATTGAAATATGTTATGGTTCCGACCGAGCATTTTTTCTGCAAATAACATGTTAAAGATTTTGTTCTCATATGATAAATATATCGATAATAAATCTTATGCAATTTATCTCAAGAATAAATAATTTATATTAAAGGTGACTACTGTAACGCTCAGAAAATTAAGCAGTATGGCAGAGTATATCATCAATATCTACTAGTTTGCTATAAAAGAACTTTACAGAAGAGAAGATTGAGATCCACCATCACACTGCTTGCGACGTTATCAATTTGAGATCGTAAGCTGATCGGATGTTACAATTGTGGATCACTTCAAAAAATTACCAAATACTGATTCCACTACTCACTTTTTTTTTACAAATGGTTTCCGGTAGCTATCATGAACGACGTCTTTACGAAGACCTTATGAAAGACTACAATAATTTGGAACGTCCAGTACAGAATCACTCACAACCTGTCGTGGTTTGCAATAATTAACGAATTTTCTAAATAGCAAGATCTCACTAAAATATTTTGCATTTTTAATTTTTATAATCAAAAAGTGATAACTTTCGTCATCGAGCGATTTATTAGTTTGTCGATTATATCTTCATGCATTGTCATTAGTTGCTGAGTAAGTGTAGAGTAGAAAATAACTTCAAGAATCAAGCATATTACTATAAATTTGAGTATATATTAAGTGGAAAGGGATGTAAAATCAAATAATTTCATCCACGATGTTACTTTATCCAAACTTCAAAGAAATTTTTTTAAGATATATTTGAAAGTATCATTACAACAAATTATTGATGTTGACGAAAAGAATCAAATCGTTTACGTAAATGCCTGGCTCGATTTTGTAAGTTTCTTCTGTATATTTGCTGTGTACAAAATAATACTCATAATAAAATCTTGGACTAAAAGTAAAGCTCTCTTTAAGTAATATGATTCCAGCTATCTATGTGGAATTGGGTTTTATTTTAATAGTTTTTTTAACGAAAACTGGATAATTTTTTAACTTTGTATCTCAGAAATAAGTTTTAAAAGTTTGGTACCTTCTTTGAAAAAGGTATAAATTTTTTATTGACAGTCTCAGATTTGTAGAGCGAACTAGAAATCATGTAAGGATTGTTTTAGGCATTGCGATTTGTGAGCATTGAGATATCAAGTAACACTCTATAGCTTTGTTTTAGTTCTTAATTGCATATCACGCTTGTGTTCAAAGTCTTCTTCAGGCATGGAACGATTATAAATTGAAATGGGACAAAGATGAATACGGGAATATAACAGATGTCCGATTTCCTGCTGGCAAAATTTGGAAACCTGATGTGTTACTGTACAATAGGTAAAAGCAATTGGTATTACTAATCTCGATCAAGTAATAATGAATAATTGTTGCGTAATTTTTGGTACAAGTAGAAGAAGCAAACTTATATTAATAATTGCAGGAATTCTTGAGAAACGCTTTAACATTAATAATGAATTTGTGAAAATAAATTACGGTCTTAGATTTTTTGGCACGCAAAAAAGATGACATCATAATTATTACTAATTTTTATTTCAAGAAACTTATTAATTAGGAAAAAAATCTTTTAAACATGCCAAAGTGAGACTGAATTGGTTGGCAGTATTCAAATAACTGACATAATGCTAACTGTCAACAATAAGTGCAATGAAATATTACTAATATCTATTTTTTAACTTTTTTATATATACTTGTAAAAATATGAGGACTACAAATTGATAGTTTTGAAGTTTTGAAAATAAAAAAGTAATCCAACTGAAGACGTAAAGTTACGGTGCAAATATTTGGCAACATCTGTAGTAAATAAAAAGAGCTAATTTGAAGCGTTGATCCAAATTTCGATTCTACTTATCCTACCAATATGGTCGTATACAATACAGGTGATATTTCATGGATTCCACCGGCAATTTTTAAAATTAGCTGTAAAATTAATATCGAATGGTTTCCATTTGACGAACAGCGCTGCTTTTTTAAGGTGATTTATTTAATTATGCAAGCTTTCAAATATGATTGTATTAGCAATGCTTTCTGCTCCTAAATATTCCTACTTGCAACTTTTTGTTCAATTTTATATAGTATTGACTGCAAAAAGAGTGAAAATAAAAAACTGACCAAAACAGAAAACACTTTAATTTCACGTGTATTTTGAACAGTTGTTAATGACTAAATAATTGTAAAGTAAATTATTCTTTTCGAAGTAGACTATATATGAGTAAATTTGTACAAAAAAAGTTGGTAGATTCAATTTTATCTTATGGACATGCATTTTTGCATTAACTAGTAGTAAGAGTACAACTTTTGTTTATCAAACTTGTTAGCTTTACTTGCTTACAAGTAAGTTTCAAGTGGTCGATAAATGAAACTGTTAGATTTGAGCATCTAAGAATACAATTCTGTTTTCTTAAGAAGAGTAAATATATCATTCAAGTAAGCCCTCCAGCTTTGCTTCATCTATTGCAAGTTTTTATTTTATCGGAAAAAGATTTACCATTTGCAAAATATTCTCTTACTCTATAAATAATTTACTTCATCATATACTATGCTTCACTTATCAGTAGTAATTTTTCACTTTTTTGACTTTAGTGTGAAAGCATCTTAAAGTGTTAAGCTTAAATAAACTTGTTTTGCTAATTTTATTTTTTTACAACTATTTTTTCTAATTTATAAATAGTCATTTTACACATTATGCTATTTCATGCAAACTTATTCAGAACAATTTCACTTATTTTAATTTTGTAATAATTTTTAGTTCGGTTCCTGGACTTATGATGGAAATAAATTGGATTTGCAGCCAGGAAAAGGTGGCTTTGACATTTCTGAATATATGCCAAGTGGTGAATGGGCTCTACCAAGTAAGTTATCATCAGAAATATTTCCAAAAATAACCTCTAATTTACCTTAACTGAAAGGTCTAATGTAATCTTGAGAGTATTTAATTAAATAAAATTGTTTATTAAGTAATAATTTGTGAATGGACAAAACAAAACGTTCATAATATTAATAATATTACTTTCGTTTACTACGTCATTATTTTGCATAATTTATTGTACAAATAATATGTACTTTTCAGTGACAACAGTGTCAAGAACAGTTAAATTTTATGAATGTTGCCCCGAACCATATCCTGACCTCAAATTTTATTTACATTTAAGGCGCCGCACTCTATATTATGGTTATGACTTTTATTCTCCATTAAAGAGTTGTAAAACTCTTTGAGTTTATATTTCATTTTGTCAAATTCCATCAAAAAGTTTTTAAATTCAAGTTAGAAATGCCTGAAGTCAAAAGCAGTATTTAAATGCATTTTTAAGCGTTTACATGTTCAAATGGCAGCTCGCAAGAAGCCTGAAATGAATCTTGGATGATTTAATTTAGTAATGCTGTAATTTTGTGGTGGTTTAGGACTTTTATTCAATTTGATGATACTAATTTTAGGCTTTAATTTAATAATGCCCTGTATATTAACGACAATGATGACGCTGCTTGGTTTTACGCTTCCACCTGACGCTGGCGAAAAAATTACTTTGCGTAAGATTTTAATTATTTTCTAACTACTAAATCCTTAATAGATTTGCTGAAAACTTTTTAGAAAATTTTCTTTTTTCTCAATTTAAGAAGTTCATTTGCAGAAATAACAGTCTTACTATCAATATGTTTTTTCCTCAGTGTTGTATCTGATATGTCTCCACCAACTTCAGAAGCAGTGCCACTTTTAGGTAGCATTTTCAAATAAAAAGAATTAGTTTGATGCTTGCATTTATTATTTTACTCAGAAATTTATAGCAAAATTGTGCAATTCAGCAGCAGTAAGTAGTGATCTATTCGCTTTAAAAACATTCCTAATAGCAGAATTTGGTATTTAAACAAATAAAAGTAAAAAATGAATTGTCTAGTTTATCTTAAAGTTATCTTTGTATAAAAGATTTATCAGTTGTGCGACATACGCTCTTAGCATCTGTAAATTGTAAATTTACGTTTCGCTATACAAAAAACGCAACAGAGTGTCTTCATTTCTTTATGGTTATAAGCTTGATGCTGTAATTCTTACAGTTTCTGAGCCAATCAACCCAATCTTACTTCCGCACTAATTTCAGGAATATTTTTTTCTTGTTGTATGATTGTTGTTACGGCATCAACCGTATTTACCGTATATGTATTGAATTTGCATTATCGAACACCAGAAACGCATGAAATGGGTGCCTTGGTCAATACTTCCTGCATTATTTTTCCCATAAAAACAATTGCTTTACAAAACATTTTTACTAAATCAAAATATTTCAGTGAGTAAATCAGTAATAAACCAATAAAATCTTTGCATCGAAAAAACCACCGTTTCTTACAGTATTACAGTAATTAAAAAGTGTTTCAGACTAAAACACTACTGCTATACTGGTTACCATATTTTCTCCGCATTAACCGACCAGGTGTATATTTATCTTGGGAGACCTTACCACCATTATTTCCATGTACAAAACCAAAAAGGCATAGCGAGTCATTAATACGAAACATAAAGGAAGCAGAGTGCAGCTCAAGGTAAATTAATTAGCGCAGGTAAATATTTTAAATACCTATAACTTGAACAATACGACAGATGAAACATACTATATTTTAAGTGCGATACAACTAAACTAAAGCAGTTGGATCATCCTACATTTGTAAGTTAGATCATACCGCAGGTCAAATAATGCAACCTTCATAACGAGTATTCTGCAGAAGGATATCACTTTTATTAAGAATATTCCTTAGATTTGTTGTTTATAAGTCTAATCATAATGTAGCCGAATATGCTGCAGCTTACAAATACATTATATTGCAGACGGCACTAGTCTTTCAAACTTATGTTTATTAACTCGTAATCATCCTTTAAGTTACTACAAATTTTCGTATAGATAAGATGCCATAACATAAGATAAAAACTGGTAAACTTTTCCAGTCATTTCAGGTCGAATTCTTTAGATGTTGAGCGAAGGGTTTACCAATATATGAGTGGTATATCCAATGGTAAAAGCACTGCCTCAACAATGATAAACGGGCCTTCATCTCTGCAATTAAACTCATCTATTGATATCGGAGAACAAGCAACCTTGCTCATTTTACAACGAATCTATCAAGAATTGAAGGTACTTTAAAATTTGGAGCAATATTCTCAGCGCCATTTTCTACTGCTTACTTTCCATGCTAATTTTCTGCGAGAACAATAATACTTTAATTAATCTCACAACTAGACTACTTAACAAGATAGCAGTTATTTCTGACAAATTTTTCAAAATTTAGTAGCTATTTTATATCTTAAAATTCAGATCAATTCCTTGTTTCCTAATATAAAATTCTAAAATGTAAAAAAAAAAACAGTTATCAATTTCTAAGTGAAACCATTTAATTACAAAAGATATGAGCTTCAGATAATAACTAAACGTATGATAGATGCTGATCGAGACGATACTCAAGCAAACAACTGGAAATTTGCAGCAATCGTTGTTGATCGCTTATGTCTGTATATTTTTACAGTATTTATCATTGCTTCATCCTGCGGAATATTGCTTTCTGCACCATACATCATTGCTTAGACCAACTGGCATACCAGAAAATTCCCATATTTGTTGAAATTCAAATAAAAATTCATCCTGATATACGTCCAGGAAATGGGATTACTTTGTCTACATAAAATATTATGGTTGAAACAGATAAAAACCTCCTGAGATCCTTTGAATATGTAAATTAGGATCATTTATTAGTTAGATCTCGAAACAAAAGCTTAATTTTATCTTGACAAATTCCATGCAAGAAAAGCTTGTAAATTCCCGTCATACTTCAATGTGTAAATATTTATTGACCTCTTAAATTTATAGACCCATTTTGATAATATTTGAGCACACTAAGAAATCTGAAAGCAATGCATCAGCAATGAAGACATGTTCCCATCAAATTAACAAGCCAAGAAATTTCCCATTATCTCATATGTAAGGAAATGTTTCCTGATAGTATTCTACATGTAATTTTTAAGGTACTGATAAAACTCCTTGCATCTGATATTATAAATTTTTTGAACATTGATTGAAAAGAAAACTACAAAAAATCATTAAATTTAATACCTTAAAACTGGAAAATTCCTCCAAATGTCAAGACCATTTTTACGATGAGAAGACCTTTCCAACTCAAAATATTGAAAATATTTCTAAAATAATTATCACTAAAGATGAATCAATAACCAGTTATTCCTTAGATTCAGAAATTTTGAGAAATCAAGTCAGCCAGAATAGTCCAAATGCTAAAACATTATTGATATGAGTACTTTCTACTCTAATCAAAATTTAGTAACTTTTGCTTCCCATCGATTTTATTCATTCGAATTCCTCATTCATTCGTTATGCTATGCTTTCTACTCCTCACTGAGAGATAGAAATAAAGTTAAGAGCGTTGATAAAGCTCTCCCAACATTGATAGGACCATTAAATGCAGCAGAGAAATACTTAACATCTTATATTCAGAATTAGGCTTCTTGTAAAATGAAAGAATTAACAGAACAACTTGTCACGTTGTAGAAATCTCATTTAAGAAAAACTTATTCAGCAAAATTACTTTTTCATAACGCAACACTTTCAATGACTTATTTTGATTTATTTTATCAATATACAATTAAAATAAACGAAAAATAACAAGTGAATAAATGTGCTAGTGGATTTTGTCGAAAAAAGATCAAAAAACTTCCGAAATTACGGAAGTTCTATCTCTGCGATTAGACGAATTACAGAAAATAAGATATTAAACACCAAACTACTAATGATTGATAATTATAATGAACTGATATAATTTATTTACACTTTCACCATTTTTTTGGAAGCTCCTACCAGTTTTGATTTTATTTCCATTGGCGTTTTTCTTTCTCGTTTCTTCAAATTATCTATATTGGCTTTCAAAATACTAGCATACGCTAGCTGGAACTTATTCACTTCTTTAGCATGTACCTGGAAATTAAGTACATATTATTTAAAAAACATGCAGATGTGCAATTCACTTAATATGAATAATGTAAGTGAACAAAATTTTCAACAAGCTTCTTGGTAAAGTGAAGAAGCGAAATTCCGAACATCAACTGCTTGAAAATAATGCCTTTTGCAAGCTAATCTTACTTGAAACTCTTACCACAGTCCTAATTTTCTTTTTACGACGTTTTGCTCGAAATAGGCAAACACTTTCCCCTTTTGGAAATTGCTGCGACTCATCCTTCGGATATGGCTTCGTCCTCCCATCATCTAAAATCTAGATGATCCTTAAAATCTATAATAAATGGTATTAAATTTTATTCCGAGTTGGATATTTCGCTATTTTTATCCAAATATAACAAAAAGTAAGAGCAACCATCTAAACCGTGGAGATATGATAGTAAATGATTAAATAATAATTTTAATAAAAGAAAATATTTAGGACCAACTAAGAACAAACTTTCCTCATTTAATAACAGTAGAATGGCTGGCTATCTTACTTTTGACATGTCGTAATCGAAAATCAAAGCACAGAAAGAAAATACAGTCCAAAAGTATTCTAAGTTGAACCAAATCCTTATACAAAATAAAACGAATAACTTTATTTTCGCTACATCCACACCACAATTTTTAAACATTTTAGGATTTAACACTAGTGAACATTTTAGAATTTAACACTAGTGAATGATAAAATCCCTACAGTGTGTAAGCGTGATAGTAACTGGAGAAGCAATAAGATGAGATTTCTGGAATAATTTGGCTAATTCAGCAAGAAATTGATCGTTATCCAAAAAGTTCATCTAAAATCCTGCAAATTTAACCTCTACAGAGTTAGAAAATCTTACGTAACACTTAAAGTAAACCGGATTCATGTCACATTAGCAAAACAACTTTGTAAATTCCAAATAAGTGACAAGTTTCTTAAATGTCCATTACGTGACAGGCAATATAAATTCCAGCTTAAAAAACTTGATAAAACGCAGACCAAAACACTGTTACTTTAATTCTAATGTCTCTTTTACCCTTTGACTTTTGACCGTTGACCATTAAGTTCCCTGAACTATTTTACATATCTCTCGAGACCAACAGATCAACAGTGTTGGTGTGTCAAAAATGACAAACTGGAGAATGGAACTAAATGCAGAACTAAATGCAATTTTTCATCTCAAAGCACAGAACTTCAGTGCAAAAAAGTGCGCGCACATTTGAAATAATTGATTCCATTTTTTTATTAATATATTTTCGCATTTTTATATTTTGAGAAAATAACTTGAATTATTTCTCATAAACAATTTTATTTTTGTGCTATGAAAAAGCGTTTTTTGGGCAATAAATGCTTGAGACTTATTGTGATGTGCGGACAATATTCACATTTCATTAAAGCAAAATTGCATTAAAAGATGAAGGATATGCACAAAATGGTTTACAATGAGCTAAATAGCACACAGTTAACTGTGATGGCACTACGAGAAAGTAATAAAAATTACATAGCGAAGGATTGGGAGAGTAGCCATTAAGCGCGAGCAATGCATCAAATCATTCAGAACGAATCAAAAACAATTATAAAAGATATGTATGCTTCAGCTCGTTTGCTTTGTAATTCATTATCTTCCTGTGGGATAATTTTTAAACAAATAACAATGTCCGTTGGTCATTTCTACGTTTAACGTAAGACATAGATGTCTGTGAGTTCATCAGATACATTTTTGCCTAAACACGCCATAAAGTAGTTATCTTACAGAAGTAAAAGAGATTTATTATAATTTGTAGATAAAATGTATTGTTTTGTATGCTTCATTTTGTGCACAAAAAATTGTAAAATTAGTTTCACTTGAAAGTGATCGAGAATTGTGACACTTATATTCACAGCAAACAAATGAACGTGTTTTCAAAAATGACTTCAGCCTCTTTTTAATTCTAAACTTGTGGAAAGATTCCGTGTGCATTACTTCTAGATCACTTTTTGAAATTTAAAAGATGAGTATCGAGACAAACTGGATCATCACTTCGGTTACAAAAAGCTGATGATTGGATATCACTGAAAGACTGATTTACTTAGCAATGAAGAACAGATGATTAACGCTATGCCAGCAAGACTTCACTTGCTTAAATTAGTGGCATTCTTTTTGCTATTAGCAATGTATTTTCACGCATAACCGCTTTGTTCTGAACGTTAGTTTTCACCAAATTATATCACAAATCTTTGCCATTTTTCTTTTGTCAGCAGCCATTTTATTTTTTAAGCAGATGTCACTTTTTGATATACAATTTTGCAATTCTCATATCTTTTACGACAGTCAGAAATGTTGAAAAAGGAGTGAAAATGTACTTGAGGGAAATGAAAGTTTCTTGACCTTTCCTGACCTTCAAAGTTTCTTCAATTTGGCATGTCCACTACGATTCTTGCTATGCATTGCATGAAAATAGTATTCAGTGTGCAATTTTTTGTAGAGTCACTGCGAATATCAGTCATTTGCAAAAAATAACTGCAATGACTTGTGGGCGAAATACGAATCAAATGGAATTAAACGTTTATAAGAGTGGTTTGTGGTTGCCATCGAAGGATATTCGTCATTGGGACTGCACTCAACTAAACTCCAATTTGCTCAGAACAATCGCGATGTATTTCTTTTCTGAGAATCAAAAAATTCCCTGCTCAGTCAGAAAGAGAGCATTAATGTCTGTCCCAGCATCAGTTTTCAGTTTTTTTTTTTTTCATTGAACTGTAATACAAATCAAGCAAATTTTTTGAAAACGATATTAGCTGCAAATGAGATGAAAGAGAGCTAATTACATTAATTTATATTAAAAACGCTGAAATTCTGATTGTAGTTTGCTTGATTTGTATTACAGTTCAATGAATTTAATGAGCAAAATTTGTAATTAATCGGTAGAAATCATCCACTCGTTGATGCCTGCTTGAATTTTGTTCTATTTTGTAAGTCAAAAAAAATTTTTTTTAATGATGATAAAATTTTATTTAACAAAAGAAATATGTTTCAAAAAAAAGATTGCTATCGATAATTGACTTCATATTTGCGTGAGTCTTTCCTGACTTTGGGTTATCGTACAGAAAATTGGACGTGAAAAAATTATTGGAAAAAGTAGGAGAGTAAACTTTGTTGATCAGAAATGTTCTATCCGCAGAGAATGCTTTTTACGTTGGAAGCATTGTTAGACAAGAAATTTGTTTGTAAGGAAATAAAATTGCATGCAATTTTCAGTGTTCAGAACAAACGCATACCAAAGTGTAAGCTGTTTGCTATGCAGATCTCAGTGGATTGATATTACTGAAGGCATTTGTCTTCAATAATATGAATCCAATGAGGAATTATTGTTGTTTTATGAGTGAAATTGGATATTCCAGCAGAAGGACATGTGGTACCAATTATGGAGATAAAATGTGGATATTTATTTTAGCGAGCAAAGAACCTGAATTATATACCGAATGTATCAAAAATTATCTAAGCTTCGTCAGTACGGAACTCAGTGATCTTATAATCTCGATAAAATTGCTGGACACGATGTGAACAGTATGCTCCGTCAACCCTTTCTCGAAAAAATGAGAAATATGTCCACTAAATGAGCAACACAATGTAAGAAACAACTTCCAATAAATCAGTCAAATTTGATCTCACAAAATATATATACTGATCACATTCATGCCTTGACTTAGACTAATTGATTTAACTATTCTTAATATAAGCTTAATTATTCCTTATATTTGCATTCTGTTGACGTTCTTCATTTTTTTTCGGGGTTTGAATAGACTTTTCTCATTAGCCAGAAGTGTGGTAGTCCGAAAAAAGTTTCAATAGCAATGGCAAAACGAAAAATTCGATACAGAACTGAAAAGTACAGAAAGGACAAAATTAGCAATTTTTGAATAATTATTCACCTTGAACATTCTCAATAAATATTTGAAAACAAACATTTTATTGGTATTATCGTGTGTTAAACTGCATAACTCTAGTGATGCCTTCAAAAAAAAGGTCATTATTGCTTTAACTCAACTCAGTAAAACTTTACTGCGCACAGTTTTCGAGATTAAAACATCAGATGACATGCAGTTAGTGTATGAGACATTGGTGCCAATCTAATGCTTTAGATGACAGCATGGCTGTATGAGAGTAACTCAAATGTTGAAGGCTAATCGAGAATGATCTTCAAGTTTTGATCAAAAGTTTTAGTGATCGAAAACAAGAGAAATCACAATCACCCTCAGATGAAGGAGCTCAGACACCGATAGAAATGGTTCAACCCATCTCAGAAAACGAAGGAAGAGGTGCATTCCGGAAACTATTCATGAAATTGGGAGAAAAAGTTGGCACTATTAAAACTTCTGAGCCAAGCGCGGATTACATAAGTCGAGTACAAGAAGCTGACACTTACAAAGTATTTGTTTTGTAAATAATGCTAACTACTAACCTTATTTGTTACTGACTAGTAAAACTAAAGTAATACTTGGCTGCTTTATATTTCGTTACCAACAAAAGACTATTACATGGTTCGAAATACTATTTATTTTAGCAAGTTCTTTGCCAGCTAGCAGAAAGTGTTATGCATGTGCTGCAACAAAATCCAAAATTAGTGCCCGAAGCAGAATCGAAAATGGAATTTGAATGTCCTCCAAGTCAGGACCCACTTGAACAATTAAGTTTAACTCTAGCATCGATGAGAGATAATTTTTCTGCCCACAAAACTGCTCTCGAGGTAAAGCTTGTCAAAGTTAAGACAGTATCATCCAAATTTAAATTTTACCTGACTTAACTAAAATCAGTTTTACCTGGACCAAAACTATTCAAGTTTTAGCACTAGCAAGTAAATGGTTGCGAGTGCTCTTTGGGTATTTTCAGAGGCAGGGAAATTTTGGAGATAAAAGCCTCTAAACGCTTTTATCTCTAATATTTTTCAACTTATCCGCAAACTTACTTTTCATTGACTAAGGTGTGTATCGATACATGCGAAAAATTGGCTGGTTTGCGTCGTGCCTATCATAAAAAGGGACGAAGGGCACTTCATTTCATACGAACATTTATTAATGTTGATTATGTGGGTACGGGAAAAGAAATCTCATTCGTTTTCCTTAAGATTAATTTCCAATTAGAAAACTAATTTGTATTTCAAATTTTTTGGAATCAAGTAAAGAATTACTTAAGAACTATTAACTTGCTAAAAAAAGACTGCTTATCTCACTATGAATGCTGTGTCAAAGGAGGGCAATAATAGTGGATACTGAAGCTTTTATTAATTGCGAATGCGTATCGAATCAACGTTTCTAAGATAGCGTTTTATATTTGAAAGAAATTTTAGTTCTCAATGATGAACGCCAAACACTTATCAAACGACGGCAACAGATGGACTTTGCAAAACACGAATATCTCAATAATCCTTCTGCGCAAAAAAAAGAAAGTTGTGATAGAGCAGTCGCAAAATTTAACGAGCAGTCTGAAGTGGTAAGTAATGAACTTTTATTATTTGTGCTATCCGAATACTGTATGTATAATAATAACAATCAGTGAGAAGTTTCTCATGGAAAAGCAAAATACTTTTAATCAGACTAAAGTAAGTGTTTAATTTTAAATTATATTTCCAGGTCTTCGACGCTTTAGAAAAGCTTCAAGTTAAGAAAGAAAAACACCGTTTGGAATTGATTAAAGTTCTGGAAGAAATGCGAAAATATCACAAGGGTGCTGCATTAGAATGTTCCCGAGTTTCCAAGGTGAAGTGGTGATGTGGAAGGGCACTACTGAATACCAGCACTTGCAATTATATTATCACATGAAATCAAGCTGCTTCCTCTAGAATGTTATTACGACTTAATAAATTGTTTTTTCAAGCAATTTTTCGCTGATGGCCTGACATATTACAGAATTAAGTTCTGTATGTCATCTGCACTTCATATTCAGCTTTCATTTCTTATGTAAAGCATATCAAGACAAAATAAATACTATGTTTGTCACCGAGGTACCATTAAGCTTTGTTTTTCTACATAAATCATGCAGGTATGCACTGCCGGACCTGCATAACCATTTTTTTCACCTCTGTAACTAACGGTTGCACGCTCGTTACGAATATCAGCCTGAAACATATTCTCAGTTATAGTTTGCAAGTATGTTAAAGAAAAGTCAAGTGAGTTACTTTCATACCTTGCCAAGAATCTCTTTACCATCGATCATCAATACGGCTGGGGAGATATTACCTTTGTGCTGGTCCGCGTGCTCCGATTTAGCCAGAAGATCGGGAAAGAATCGCCACAGTGCAGCAACTCAGCGCCTTTTTTGAATTTGTCGAAGCGCCTTTGCATCTGATTCAGTTGTACCAAAAGCCAAAACTTAAATGGTTACCTTTATATTGCAACACCTGTAACATTCATGTAGATCAAAACTTCACAAAGATTAGAGTGCACCTGGATGGCGTGGGGTGCATCTGGATTTGCCTCCCGAGGTCCTTGGCGCCAGTTATTTGCTTCGATTCATGGGAAGAAGCATTCGATGACGCGACGTTATTCCACGTTCGTCCGTGTATTGGCTTAATATGTTTGTACCACAGGACTACATACATATTTTGTTAACTCAGCCCAAATAGGGTTGTCAAGGAATGGCGAGCCTATAGGTCCAAAGCCCAAGTGTTTTCATGGCTATAGGATGTGCCATCGTTAACTAACGACAATGGATTTTTTATTTTTGCAAACTTTTTGAAATTCATTTACTTGATGTTTTATATTCAGAGACAGTTTTATGCAAATTTGAATTTCTGTGCAAAAAGAAAAGTTGTAAATTTCATTACTATCCGATTTTTATTTAAACTTTATTCAAAAAAGTTGTTTCGATCAAAGGATTTGCTATTGAATTTCGATTACTCAAGTAATTTGCACTGAAATTTGTAAATTCTGCAGTTCTTATAAAATTATCTCGTCGTTTGCGTTGTTACTTCAATATAATGATGAGATAATAACAAGATTTTCTCTTTTTGCGCACAAAATTTTTTGAAAAGTAATTGCAGCATTCGAATAATTGAGAGACCATTCAAATTTAAATTTAAATATTTAATGCAAAAGTAAGATAACTGCTAGTTCGTCTGCAAAAGAACTTTCCCCTGAATTAGCATGTTATGTTTGGCGCCAAGAAATATCATTACACTT